GGAACTTAGTCCAAAATTATGGCCTATCATGCTGATCAATATGGTCTCCCTGTTTCCTTGTGCTCCCTGAGTCTCTGTCTGTCTGTCTTTCTCTCTGTTGTAGTTAGAACATAAACTCTCTGGGGCCAGGGCCATTTTTTTGTACAGCACCTAATGCAATGGGGTCCATGACTGGGTCTCCTAGGGGCTACCAAAATACAAATAAACATTTAATTATTAAAATAGCTGATTCACAATGTCCCTAGTTGTACATAGGGTTTGTGTATGTCCGGGAGGAAAAAAGCATTTCAGTTTCACACTGTAGCAGGAATACAATAAATGGGAGGGGGAAATTACTTTACAAATTACAAACATTTCTTTGGCTCGACTCTCTTTTAAAAAAAATTGCAGATGATACAATACCATGAATTACGCTGAAAGGGATTGCTACATGTAGAACTATTAATATGATACAGACAAACTGCTTCAGGTTTCTGTGCAAGTCTTCCACAGTTCATTACATCACCATAAACTTGATTAGAGGTAATAAAAGCTTGTATTTCTGCAGTTATAAAAAGGTTCTGTTAAACATCTGCTTTACACCATAAACTACTGTATGTGACAATACATCTGATTGAATTTAATAAAGTAAGATTGCTTGTTCTTTAAAATGCTGAATTCCTCCACAAAATGCCCTTAATATCTGACACTAATTGGCACCATTGTAAAATAGTAATCTCAGAAGAGGCACCATTTACCCCTTTAAACCCCCAACCTACCTTCATGCTAAATACTTGATTACACAACACATGTTCTCCAGCTGGTGAGGGTGGGTGAGCAGAGGTATTATGCGCAATGGTGACCCTTCTACATCATCCAAGAGCCTAAGAGTGTCCCCTTCAAGATGCACGTTAGCTCCAATGGATTAAAGATCTAAGGGTGCTTCCCTACTTTACCTACATTGCCCTGGGCTGGCTACGCAATACTGGCTCTCTAGCAAGTGATCTTTATTGCCCTACCTTGGCAGCTGTGGTTGTCCTCTGACAGAACAAGCCCCCTGGGGCACTCACACTGGTATGTGTCTTCCACTGCAATGCAGGTGTGGCTGCAGCCTCCATTGTTATTGTGGCAACCTTCAATTTCTAAGAGACAAAGTGTTGGAATTATTAATAATGTTTGAAATATTAACATGGGAAATCACCAAACACCAATTTAAACATAAATTCCTTTTTTAAATCCAAAGTCTTATGCAGTTCCTCTGAATATGCCTAAAAAAGCTTAAATAAGAAGCCATTTACTACATCCAAACAGTAACAAAACATTTATAAGCATTTGATCAAGATACTT